TCATTATACTTAAGTTTAAATACTCTAATCTACTCCCATTAACTCCATTTGAGTCAACAAATTTGAACCCATAACCTATATGAACTGAAATCTCACTTTCACTATCAAACCCTAACCATAAACTCATAAATGTAGAAAAAATAGGGAGATTAATGAGCATGGTACTTACCTTGGGTTTTTGTTGTAACACTTGCCCCGAGTGTTATCCAAAAATCACACAATTCAAATAAGTTAAGTGTGGTTAAGGAATTAATCCCAAAACTAACTTAGGAAACAAACCATTTAAATCACTAAACAAATACATAATTGCAAAGTAAACATTTAAAGCTTTTTAAAAAAATTTATAGGTTCTACCTATAGCGCACGGAAGCAAGTTAGGCGAAAGAAGAGTAAAAATATGTTGTCATGATAGCATTAAATTGCTGTCATGATAGCCCTCCTGAGTCAACTTTAGGGAGTCACCATTCTGTCTTCTAATCTCCGATTGAAGAAATTTTAAAGCTCACACGTCACATTCAAAGGTTACTATAAGTGTACCAAATTTCAAAAAGATGCAACGGTCGGATTAAAAATTAGACATGTTATAAATTTGGTCACTTTTGCTGTCATGATAGCACTTCTGAACTAACTTCCGGAGTGCACCATTTCATCATCTGACCTCAGATCGGAGTGATTCGAAAGCCCACATGTCACTTTTTAAGAATACTATTAGCATACAAAATTTTGAAAAGATCCAACGGACGGATTGAATTTTATACAGGTTACAATATCACTACTGTAGCTGTCATGACAGCAATGAAATGCTGTCATGACAGCACCTCCAGACCAAATTCTGAAGTACACCGTTTCTCCATCCGATATCCGATCAACATGATTCCAAATCTCACACGAAGCTTATAAAAAATTTTACTTGTGATCCAAATTTTAGAGAAATTCAACGGTCAGATTAAGATTTGGACACCCAGATGCAAAAGTGCAGCTTTTTGGTAAAAACCATTTTCAAAATTATCCAAATCTCATCCTAATGGTCACAAACCTGTGGGAACACTTTGGACACGTCAAATAAGACTAAAAACACTTGATAGAACATTCAAATGATGGAAAATCCCCATACATCAAAATTTGACCACCCGGGTGCCATTTCTCAAAATGGACCCTAAACCCCAAAATGCATAAATCATACAAGAGTGGTCACAAATCAATCCAAATACCATGTATTTATATAGATACATATGCTAAACATTTTCACATGACTTAGAGCTCCTTGTGGGGCTCACGCACCCACTCTTTCTATCCAAGGTATATGTTTGCCCATAGCACACCATTTGCAATGCAACCACTTTGCATTTGCTTATAGAATCTCACACACACACACACACACATCAAAATAAATATCTGCTTGTAATAGAAACTTGGTCTACTAAGTAAATCCATCAAAACCACACACCATAACCAAATTTCTAGCCATAAGTCTACAAACAGACAAAAATTCATACACAAGCACACAATCCACACATATTCACCACACAGACATAATCATATCCTACTGGCACCCTAATCTTAAATACATTACAATATATTTTCTCAAAAGAAAGGGGTTGCAGTTCTTTACAAATCACAAGCAAACCCCTAGCTTTGCTCCTTTCCCCGTCCACCACTTGATCCTTCGCCTGGACCTAGAATATTGAAAAGAAAGGGGTGAGACAACCACAGTCTCAGTAACAGAGAAATCTACATTGATTATTACAAAGTAAGCCATAATCAAATAAATGAATAATAAATTCAACATAGTATATAATTTAGCTATTTAAAATGTATGAATGCATGACTTAGGCCGGTATGGCCTTTCATGACCAACAGAATACCCCCTGGCACTCTTTAACTCGCAGGTAAACCTTATACCTACTTGTACCTCCACAGGCACAAAACATAATCTAAGGCATGATCTAATCCACCGAACCGCCTATGCCCCTTCGACGTGAATCCTGAGCAATTAAAGCTAACTCCCTCCCAGAGCCAGCCCGACTTACTCTCTATGTGAGGGCTACCTTGGCCTAGGCACTCAACCTCACACTTCATATGTCGGATTCCCTCCCCCACTGAGAGTTGTCGAACACTCAATACACTAACCACTTTAGTGCACTGAGCCCACAATATGTAAGACAACACTGAGTACTGACAGTGTGCCATAAAATATCAAAACCACACCTTCTCATTGGTGAACTCCCACCAAGATCATGCATTTTACTCTTGTCTACCTTTCCTGAGTATTGACCATTCAACACTCTAAAGTAGTATAACATTTATAAATCTCATTTCTATAAAAACATTGTTATTAAATAATTAAAAAAAATATATTTGCACTATAATCAAAGTAGTATCCCATAACCCCTTATAAAGCACATTTAATCTTTTAAAACATGTAATGCATGATAGCTAGTAATATTTATTCAAAAATAGCTAAAACAAAGTAATAAGAAATATAAATTCTCCTGTTACCTCAACCCTTTGGTACCAAAAGGGTTCCTTTTGTACAAAATAGAACTTGGCTTGTTCCTTAACTTTTGAACAAATTCCACCAACAATCCTTACAACATATAAGTGATCCACATCACTTATCATGTCAAATAGCATTAATGAAGACTATAACTCATACCATACAACTTGGATCTATGAGCCATAATTCATCCCAATGGTCCATATATTAAACCAACCATTCACATAGTATCACTTAACCACCAAAACCATTTATTAGCCATCACTAGGCTAATTTTCAATTTATATAATTTTTAATCAATTAAAAACCTTTACTTAGTACCACCAACTTTCACCATTAGCCCTTATAATGAAAACTAAACCTTAATTTAAATCTTATTAGGCTCAAATAGCAAAATTATAATTAAATCAATAGGCTTAAACCAATGAAGAGCAAAAACCCAATTTCTCAGGGTTTATTTTGTGCTCAAAACACCTCTTTTCATTCAATTATCCACTCAAAACATTAGATCACTATATAGAAACTCAAAACATGCTCCCTAGGATCCAAAGAAACAAAAGCTTACAAGAATAAAGCCTTTAGGATCAAAATTCAAAAATTTTCTCTTTCATAAATTGAAGAAAATCAAGAGAAAGGGAAGAGGATTGAAGTAAGGAGTTTACCTATCGTGTAGCCGAGCTTGCAACGATCGCAAAAACTCCTAGATTCAAGCCTAACTCTCTCTCTTTCTCCTCTCTTATTCCTCTCTCTCTCTCTCTCTCGGTTTGTGCGTTTCTTTCCTTGTTCATTTTCTGCGTTTTCTACTATCATTCTGGTCTTTAAATTGATGATTTAAAAGTTTGGGGAAAATTCCAAGAAATGGCTCAACATTTTTTATTATTACACAAAAGCCCGGGTCAACTTCAGTAATTTTTCCCATAGTTAAAAATCAAATAAAACCAAACTTTTGCTTAGTAAAATTCAAACTCTGTACTTCTATTAAATTATTCTAAATTTTAATTTAATTATAAATATTTTATTTTATTTTTAAAATAAATTCGAGTCTTAAAATTTTTAGGATGTTACATTTGTAGCCTTCAAAATACTCTCAAAGTCGTCCCAGAATAAACTCTAGCAGTGCATTGGCGCGTCCCTTCTTTCTTTCCTCTTCTCTCTATTTCTGTCTCATTTTATGTTTGATAAACTGCAAAAAATGGCCGTATGCCGCAGCAGACACACAAGGCACCGTGGTTTATGGCACAGAGAGGTCCTCCCTCACTTAGAAATAGCTGTGTGCCACAGCAGACGATCTACATACCGTGGCATGTGACACAACAACTTCTACTCTTCCTTTTCTTCTCCTTTCGATGCCTGGGTAGCCCGCCTTGATATTGGATCCATAACTAGGGTTGAAATACTACCAAATATGATTATTATACCTCTCTAACCACACACTACTTCAACTTACTTAATTACCTTAATTAGGTTTACTTAATCAGGGAATTAAAACTCGAGATGTTACAATATATATATATATATATATAGAGAGAGAGAGAGTTTAATAAATTTTCTGATTTGAATGTAAGAGTCCATGGTTAGCTATTCACCCAAAAAAAGAGTCCATAGTTAGCCCATTCCACCTAAGGATGTTTAGCTTGTAACTGTCTCTATTAGTCTAGTCTCGTCCTAATAGATCTCATCCCGGTCCTGAAATAATCGAGATGAGACTTTGCGGGACAAGACAAGAAAGGGGTTCAGGACAAGACACGAGATTACCATTAAGATGTCCCGTCTTGTCCCGTCCTAAATATTATATATATTATTTTTATTTTAAAGATGTACATTAAATATATTAATTATATTAATATAATTTATATTTATATTAATTATATCAATTATAATTTTAATACTTACAATTCTTATATGAAATTAAAGTTTTTCATATTAATAATTTTAATGACATAGAGTAAATATGGTGATATCTTTCTTTATAATATATTAATTATATTAATATAATTTATTCTTGTATTTATTTATTTAATAATTTTATTTGTATCGTATTTCTTGTTTTATTTTTGAAGTAGTAATTAGCTTAGTATATCTCAACTAAAGTAGAAGAACAATGATTTGATGTTGTATTTGGCTTGCCTGTTGTTACTACTTTTATAGCCTAAAGATCACTTATAATTACTATTATAATGTCTAGTTGTGATTAATATAATTCAATAATTAACTTTAAATTGTTGTGATTTATAAACTTATGTTGTTTTGATTTTAAACTTAATAAATTATATTATTTAAAATTTTAATAAATGTTATTATCCAAATTTTTTCTTGACATTGTCCGATTTATTAGGATAGTAGGATGTCTCGATTTTATCTCGATTCCTAACAAGATAAAATGACTTTTGGGACGAGATAGGACACGAGACATATATTCAATCTTAATCTTTTTTTCAAGACGGGACAGGAGATAAGAATGTCTCAATCTCCTCCCATCCCATACACACTGCTAGTCCATCAGTTATTTGGAATGCTTCAATGAAACTTTCTTTCACAGATTTCATACAAATATATTACAAATGACCGTCATTAAAAGAAAATTCTCATCACCAATAATAGCTCATTAGCATTATTAGTTCATAGTTTGGCGTGAGAATCTTGTACCAAATTCTGGTTATATATTGGCTTTTCAACAAGGTTCAGACTTGAAGAAGCATCTTATTTTACTGTTTTCTGACTTTTTACGAGTTGCAAATATCCCCCCCCCCCAACACACACACTTTAATAATTGATCTGTACTTCGAAATCTTAATCTAATACTGATCCAGATTATTTTCCCGCGATGGTACTTCAAGTTCAAGTCCCGATATGTCCTCAAATGGAAGTTCATCTTCTTCTTCTGAAATTATACATGCACAGTCACAGTTCTCCCAGACTTCTTCCACAGTTTCCGTGGCGGTATAACCTGATTTGCAGTAAGCCAGAGCCATGCCAGACTCAAATGGAGGGGCTTGACCAGGATAAGCCACCATGCGAGCTTGACCATTATTATTATTGCCTGGTCTATGATCTGGATTATCTGATTGCTCTCCCTCGCTTGTCTCGCTCCCCATCTCCTGAATTTCCAAGATCTCTACTCTGCGATTCATCTTCTTCTTTATATGAATTGCAACATCTGATGGAACAAGTCTACCACACACAAACAGCTTCCTCTCTTGTTTCTCTATCATGTGAGTCTCTATCCCTTCGATGTCAAACCAACAAGAAATGTTAGACTTACATATTCAATTTCAACCTTGATACGTTTCCATGCATGTCAGAAAGTTAGAATCCAGCTAATATCACAATGTTTATGAGCATCTCTATCTGTCTTCCAGCAGCACTGTGCTGTTACAAAGGGGAGAGAGAACTAGTAGGAAATATCAACCTGTTAACCTCATGTAAGACTTGAATAAAGAAAAGAAAATAAACACATTCATGGATGATTATGATAGAAGATTACAATGAGAAAATCCTTCACTTGACGGATTATACAACTAACCCCCAAAACACTTTGAGATGTAAGACATAAAGTGAGGACATATGTTAACATCTCCCTTTAGGTTGGATTCAACCTCCTTACCTCTAATACAATATGATTCACCGACTAATCACCTTGGCTAATCCAAGAATTTTAATAAGAAAACTTTTGCTGGAGATACTTAAAAAAGATCCGAAGAAAAAAAGAAGTTTGGAAACTTTAACCTTTCATCCTCATAACAATTCTACTTAACTTCCTGCAGCAAGCATTGCAGTCAATGTTGAGTCTCAAGATCATGCAACGATACTGCAATTTGTAAGAAGAAACTCGGTTGAGGCCAATTTATATGAAAAGAATGTGCTGTTTGTTGGATATAAAAATCCCCTCTAGGTCCCAATATAGAACATCGGTAATTAACTTATAATTCTCAAAAAATATTAGTTGAACTTTTAATTTCTTAAAAAAATATTTTTTTAATTATACTCTCATTAAATATTTATATAAATGTATTGATAATAACAATTAAAAAAATAAAATAGGGGCAAGTTGGATAGAAATTATCCAATACTCTTATATTTATCAGGTAAAATTTTTAGAAGATATTCTATATTATAGCTTAGATAAAGCGTGTGTGCTTGCCTTTTCAGGTACGTAGTTGTCGGGGCTTGACACAACCACACGATGACGGTTTCTTCTTCTGGATAGACCAAAAGGCATTGTGAAGAGGGCTTTGTATTTTGTGGGGTTTGAGAATGAGAATGGAAATTATGTGGGAAGGCCAACGGATATTTCTACATTTGCATTGTCATGTTTCCATTTTGGAATCTGATTCGGCTTGGATTGGATTGGACTAACTCCGGAGGAAGTTGTTTGTGTGATAACAAGTCTTTTTATGCCTGACTTTGTCTAAAAGGTTAATTCATTGCCAACATCGACGAAAGGGACAAGCATATCTTCCTAACTCTGCTTTGCATGCCACTTTGCATTAACCTGCTCCAACGCTCAAGCATCTCTTTCTTGTTTCCAAAGTTAAATTTTAAACATTGATTCAATCAAGTTAGTAATCTAATTGTGAAATCTTTTACATGGTAAGTGTTCAAATTGTAAAATCTTTATTCTTTATTCTTTTTTTTTAAATACCCTTTAAGTATTTACCACCCTTAAAGTAAATATAAATTAATTAACATTTACTCCTTTTCAAACAGAACCCTTTACTACAAACTCAGATAACTGTCTCTAAAATTGGCACGGCCAGATGGTTAATTGAATTTGTGAGCCTAATTTGTTCTTCTTTAATTAAAAAAAAACTACACAATGGAATCCACCTTTCATATCTTGATTTGCTTTGATTTATAAGAATTGGCCGAATCAGGATGTTCCCCATAACATATATAATGTTGTAAAAAAGGAAAGAAAGGAGAAAGTTAAAAAGAAAAACAAAACTGTAACTCTGGTTATGTGCAGAAATGAGAATCTAACATGATTACATCTTTAGGGTGAAGCAAGTATTTGAAGGGTGTACTAACATTGCTGCTACTCACTGAAGCCAAATCAGTGTGTCTTCTAACATACCACAGGGTATCTCGCCCAAAAAGACCCCCCCCCCAAAAAAAAAAAAAAAACCAGAGTGTCTCCTATCTCTTTCTTTTTTTCTTCTTCTTTTTTGTTTTTGTTTTGAATCTCTCTCTCTCTCTCTCGGCGTTTCGGCCATACAAACTGAGAAACTCTATTGCATGCCGAAAAGCTGGTAAATTCACCAATCCAGTCTAATATTTCGAGAAAGGTACAGTTTATCGATGTATTCTATAACTGGTAGTGAGGCATTGATGTACCTTCTCATTTTCTTTTCAGCTGATTGATCTGTAATAACATTTATCATAGCATTATGTCTCGATAAAAATCTAACAACAACATAGCACACAAGTACTTAAACATGCTATTAGTGGCTTAATTTTGGTGGTCTACAATGGAGTTTGAGAAAGAAAATTAGAAATTGGAGAAAATTTTGAGTTCCTAGCTTAGCGCTTGCAATTGTTGTCCACGCATGTGAATTAAACAAAAGTAAACTGTATTTTACCATAAAATTTTTCAGGGTAAGCAAATTTAGCATATCATATACACCGACAAGTCTATGAAACTAGCTAATCTTTCAAGCACCATTGATGACATAAATACCACATAAAAAGAATGTAAAAAAAAAAAATCCTTTTGTTGATAAAAATCTGAAAGCAAGTCCGATATTGTTTAACATTTAACATCACAGAAAAACTATTACAGAACTAGATATGATGGCCATTGCGCAGGATGTTAGAATTTGAAAAAATGTCACACAATATCATGAAATATAAAATTATATGGAAAAAATAGAATGACAGAAAACAACTGTTTAAAAATAAAATGAAATATCAATAACAGTGTTTGATATGGAGAAAAAAATTGAAGTTAAAAAGCAAAATGGACATGGAGCCTAGCTGGTAGTGTTTACAAAGAAGTGGCTACCTACACAGTTATTGGAAAAAGGAGATGTAAATATGTTATCAGTACAGAGTCAAAATGGACTTTAAGCTTAGCATCAAGAAGCTCTTACATAAAACGGGCTTAATTTATTTTATCTCATAGTAAAAACAAGTGCTGAAAGATTTGAAGCACCATAGCTTCAGGATTCTAAGCCACACAGAAAACTGCTTACAATGCCCACACTAAAAGGAAATATAACTGAGAAAAGTTTCATAAAGATTTCCATCCATAGGCATGTCAAAACTTTTACTTTGAGGGTAGGTCTAGTGGTTGAGAGACAGAGAGAACGCAATTCAACGGACTGAAAAAAGAGAGGGAAGCAAAATGCACAGTCACACGAGGATTTTGCATCCCTATATATGTATTTGAAACAAAAAAAGCTTAAAAGTTTTGCTTTTTTTTTTTAAATTCAAACAATTAATTATATTTATTCGATTTATCAATATTACTATTTCTAAAATGACAAGTAATTATTAATGATTGGTTCACTGCCAAAACCAAGGGAAACTACAAAAATAACAGGATTTTGGAGAGTACGTGTAAACCTGTCATTCTTCTGTTCTGAATAGAGAGGGAACAACCCAAGGAAAGAGAATATCCGGATGAAAACTCATGCTTCCTTCTCCTTCTCACCATTCTTAAAAATTTAAATTTACCCTTAGGCTTCATTTGGATAGGGAGGAGAATGCTAGGACGGACTCTCCAAATATTCTCTCCCCCTTATTTTTTTCTCTATCCAAACAAAGGTTACTATAAAAATGGAAAAGTTATGGCTTATCTTGGAGCCATATGGATAATTCAAAGAATTCAAACAAAGACTTTTTAATTGGCCATGCCTTGTAATAGCACTTTTTAAGTTTTTATGTTTGAACCATGAATAACATCAAAAGGTAGCTGCAAATATTAGATAATTCAGTCTGTGTGTATAAACTTCCTACAAGATATGCACCATACATGATAATAACATTGATGTAAGCTCACCTGTTTCATTGAGCCTTTCCAACAGTTGGTCCCTTGTTGGAAGTGTATACATCCCAGCAGCTACAGCAGTTCTTACAGCCCATGTGTGATATGGTGCACAAACCTGTGCATAAGCTGTTGAAGCTACCTCTCTCAAGGAGTTATCACTGAAAATGAGAAAATCATAAATCAGATGTCACCATCAATCACAGGACACTGAATTAACTTCAATTTTTATGACTAATAATTACTTTATACATTGTCCAAAACAACTTGGAGACTAATAATTATAAAGTTATAATAGAAAAGACAGACATGCCCATATAGAAGGAGCGGGGAGAACCATACAATGGTATAATGCAATGGAAGACAGCTTTCACAATTATCTATACTAAATGAAACATCAGTGCTGAGAAGATATGATTAATTTACAAAATCATTTTTAAGACAGTTCACAAGACAGGGACATAAACATTTAAAGCTGAAGTATCAGCTTCAGAAAATATTTTGTCAAGCACGAATGCTGTCGTAAAACAATGGAAGTATAAAGTGACTGAGAAGATAGATTCCTCTATGACGTTAAACAGTATTCTACAGAGTAAGAGCTTTCCGCAAATAATATAAAAACTAGATTAAAGAATTTCCAAGCTTTTCCATTGAGACAGTTCTTGTTAGTTGTGATTTACAGAAATCAATGATATGACTGCAGATTCATGGAAGGGGCTGTCAGGAAGACTATAGCAATGCCCATCTGTATCTTGAAAATTTTTCCAGAAGTACTCTTCAATTTGAAAAGTCGGAAAAAGAGGAGTACATGACATATCAAACAAATTATATGCATCTTGCAGGCCAAAAGGCATATTCTGAATTTTAAAAAAGTACATCTGTAAAGGTGTTTGCATACTCAGTAGACAAAAAATTTTCAAATATGGCTCTGATGAGATCAAGTCCCTGTCGAACTCTACGCAGATTACGTGAAAAGCTTCCTGCTGTTTTGACCGTATCATGTGCAATATCATGATCAAGAATATCATCTAGAGTGTCAAATCTTTTCGATGCTTCCACAAGTGCATGTAGCTGAATATATCAATCAAATCATTAAAACCAATATCAAAAATTCAAAAAAGAAAGCCTATAGGTTTGTAGATTGCAACATGCGGAAGTAAACATAATGCAATGAGGGCATGGACAAAACAAGAGCCTTGTTGATTCAGCATGTTGATGGATAAAGATAACCTTAGCTCCATATCTGCCTTTTCTAACAACCACATGCTTGATTGTTAAACTACCAAGTTATACAAAGTCCTCTTGCAACTTGTCGATATAAATAATCATATTAGTTGGCAGCCAATCGCAATAGATATAGTAGTTACAAGTCATAACACCTCATTAAGTGGCAAAGATAACGTCCAACAATTTCAAATGTTGCGCCAAAACACTTCACAATGCAAAATATACCAATACTCCGCCATCACACCATGCACCTGAATTTCCGTTTGGATCCCCCAAAAAAAAAAATCAACAGAATTTGTGCAAGAGATCACTTTCAATGTAATGTTTTCTGATTCCAGGTTAAGACACAAAAAAAAAGAAAAAGAAAAAAAACCCCACATTCATCACCATTTCAAATATTATCATGTAAATCCACAGGAAGAAAGAAGAAAGGGAAAAGAAAGAAACATAAATACGCAGAAAAAATTCGACACTTATATTCATAATCACCTCTCGATCCCAAACAAGTTGAATTTCTTTTGTTTCTTCCCCTTTTTTTTAATCAGTACAGCCAAGTACACATTTCTCACTTCAAACTCGTCAGGTTTTCATCCATCAATCTATGAAAAGAACCTTAAATGCCCAACAAGCACATAAACACAAGGACAGAAAAGGACCACGAACCTTGGCGATATATTCCAGCTCAGCGAACTTGAAAGCGAGGCCGAGGCAATTAAAGAGAAAAGATACCAGAAAGCAAGCCTGGCAGAAGTTGCCCAATCGAAGCATTTCTTGTCCCATGGACCCATTTAACCGACATTTGAGCCTCTTTGCGAGCTCGTCGAAGGCGTCAGCCATGGCGGTTAGAGGCATCATTGCTGAATCCTGTGGGGTAACTTGATCATTGATAACTTTCCCATCGAACATCTTCAAAATCCAGCGCCACAATTAGTTGTCTTCCTTTGTTCGTAAAAAAAGAGCAAACATTGTGGAGATGTCCTAAAAGCGATAAAGAAAAGAAGAAGAAAGGAAGATCAAAATTCGTTGAAATGACGAAAGTGGGAATCATTGATGAGATATTTTGGCAGTTAGAAGGTTTCCTAAGGATGCGCTGAGCCTGAGGTTCGAACTATGAAAACCGCCAATTTTCCATGAAGCAGAGATAGAGAGAGAACGCTGAGAAACGTCCACCTCTGGCTCATCAATGGCGGTTCGCGCCCTTTCATCACGGGAAAGTGGGGACGGAGCCGAACAGTTTTGGATCGTCGATTGGCCCAGTGAGAAGACAATGGAAACCCAATATTTCTTGGTGGAGTTTGTGGGCTCGTGATTGAAGGCCTACAGTCCTCACTCCATTATTCCATTTACTGTTTGGATGCGTTATTACCATAGTTGTGCAAAAGTTCTCAAATTCTGTTTGACTCAATTTAACCTGAGATGCTTTTAGTCTTATTTGGTTCGAATAGACATTAGACCAAAAAGATTGAAAAAAACCAAATTATTTCTTCATGTTGGACTGAATAAGAGAATTAACATCCGGATCACTTAATTTAATCCAGTCCTATAATTTATTTATTATAATTATAATTAATTTATTTTAACAAATACTTTAAGTGTAATTGATGCTAAGGAGATAATTGTATAAAGATTTGTTGAGTTTGTTTTTAAATTGTTGTTGTAATATAGTGTTATTAAAGTTTGTTGAGTACTGTTTTTATTAAAGTTATAAATTTAAATCACTTAGACTATAATAAAAAAAAATTTTTTATTGTTGAAAATGATTATGGATTTATTATTATTATTATTATTATTATTATGATAAATGTTTTTATTATCTTAATTTAGTTTGTTAGGGGGAAACGGATTATTGCTTCTTATAGAGAAAAAAAAAAGTTAAATGAGTACTGAACTAACAGAACCAGTCTCTCAGTCCCATGAATCAAGTTTGCTCCTGTTAATTTTTGAATTATCACTGGACAAGATTGGACTACAGATTGCTTAATTTAGTTCTTTTCATTAAAGAGACCAGACTTCGGGTTAAGCTAAAATTCAGTGTCATCCTATTCTTTGTGCAACTCTAATTATTATGGTCAAAAAAGAATCTTTAGCATGCTCAAATTACACACTTTTAATGACGTTCATGAGTTTGGTTTGGTTTAGTTTTTTTTTTTTTTGGGGTGGGGGATGAACCAGATTAATTAGTGTCAAATATTGGAATCTGTAGATGTGCTTTTCCCAAAAAAAAAAAAGGATTAATCTAATCCATCAATGCATTTTTACTGTTGAATACCAACTTCTTTTCAATGGCAATCTTTCGGAGATGATCAAGCATACCAGAGGAATCATATAAGGAAATCCATTATCTCCTTATCTTTTTATCATTACAGCAAATGTTATTTTACCATGTCTGATTTAGAATCAAGAACAAATATGAGTGTGGAAAGGTATCAAGATATGTCAATATGCAAAGCCTATTTCTCATTTTTTGTATACGAATGAATCCTTATTATTTTTTGAATGTACAAGGAACAACTTGGAATCCCTTAAGAATACTTTGAAGAAATTTTGTCGCATTTTTGGTCAGGAGATTAACCATGTTAAATCTTTTCTCATTGTGAGCCCTACCCTAACACTTGTGATTTCCTTAAAGAAGAATGGGCGAGCTGTCTTGGTTTTCCTTTGGCTGAAAAAACTTAGGAAATATCTTGGGACATGTGTTGATTTAGGTAGAGATAAATCTGTTTTGTTTTCTCAAATTAAGGAAGCTATTGATAAAAGATTGGCATCATGGAAGATCTCTCTACCCTCTCGCAAGCTTCAAGGTTAACACTTATCAAATCAATATTATTTGCTGTTAAACATTTATCAACTTTCTTGTGTTAAATTACCCATGTCTATTTGTAACACGATAAATGCCAAATGTATGCATTTTTTCTGGGATATCCAAGACGGAAAGAAAAAGATGCATCTAACAAAGATTTCCTCTTCTTATCCAAATGCTTGTGGGAGGTATAGGGCGGAGACCTATTCATATGGTCAATAAAAGTCTTTTAGCTAAGCAAATATAGAGGTTGATCCAAGCCCCTGATGATTCTCTTATGGGTTCCTCTATGAAAAGAAAGTATGTGGATTTCAACTTACCAGCTCTAATCAAGAAACCCCATAAGACATCATGGATATGGAAGTTATTTTCAGTTGTTTTGACATCATTATTAGACAACTAAAGTGAAACATTGGTATTGGGAGGAATATTAAGCTCTCAAATTGATTTTAGGAGGGGTCTCTTCCATCTAGTTCTAACTTTATCCATCTCAAAGTCTCTAATATCATATCTCCTCTACTAACTCTCTTTGGTTTCCACTACAACGGATGTCAATGCCTTATAACAAATTTATCCTTTTCAAGTAGTCAAGCTATTTCTTCTATCCTTATCTCTTTCTTAGGACAATAAGATAAGTTGATATGGAAGGGGTGCAGCTCTGACTCTTACAGTTCAAGATTAGATTACAAGTCTCTCACTAGCAATATGGCCAGTAATCATCTTGATAATTACTTCATTGGTCTTACTTTTGGAAGCCTAAGCTTCCTTTAAAGTAGCTTTTTTTTTTAAGCTTCTTCATGAAGCAATTCCCACCAATGACATTCTTCATAAGCACCACTGATATTCTACTAACAAATGCCCTTTTGGATACCAAGTTTAGGAGTCCATACCTCACCTTTTCTTCAGATGCCCCTTTTCAAGGGCTCTTTGGTTCGGCGTTTTTTCTTTGAGATCTAATTTCTTGGATTGCTCAAATTACATGAAATCTTTGAAGGATTTCATTAAACATCTTATTCTAGATATAGGAAAGTTGATCTTTTGGAGAGATTTATTATTTTAATCTATAGTATTTGGAAGATAAGAACTTTATCATCCATGATGGTCACAAGCTAGATCTTTGCAAAGCTATTCAAGAATATCATCATTCGTATTTTTTCATAAAACATGTATGTACATGGAATGAAACTGATCTACATGTGTCTAGAATTAGTGCTTCTAATAGCTCATCAAGGTTATTGTGGAATCTGGCAAATTTCCAAGTTGTCAAAAGAAGTCTTCCAAATTTCCAAGGAGACAAATGCTGCTTCATCTGTATGAAGGAAAACCAAAGGCTTTTCAGTTTGGTTAAAATCTTAGTTCTTCATGTTAGACTGCAAATTGTCTTGTTTACTTAGTTTAAGCGCAAATCTACAAATCTGAGTGATTTTGAAATTATCTGCCTTCATTCAACCTTACTCTAGGCCTTAATAATGACTCTTACTGTTCGGAATTTCTGATCTCAAGATCTCCATCTTCTTTGTTGGCCGAACTTCTTCTTTGACAAAGATTCTAATTTGATGATTGCAAAAGATATTTGCTCTCTTCTCACCAACTTCAATACAGTCTACGTTAGGAGTTTGTGTTCGAAACTAGTGCAAGCGAACATGTGTCTCTCGTGTTTTAGTTTCCTTTTTTTAGCTTCATCCTATTTTTGAGTTAATTATCTTTTTCATTTATTCTTTTGATTTTGGATGTATTTGGAACTATTTGTCCTTTAAAAAAAAATATTGGAATTTGTATATCTTTCTGTCTCTAATAATTTGGTTTGATTGTTGAACCATCTAATTCAGTTAATCAAGCTTCAATTTTTGGTTGAAATGTTTTTCATAATAAATATAAATATGCATATACACAAACGCACACGTATATTTACTGGAAATTCCTAATTAGTAATTATTATTTTTAATGAAAAAAAGTCTATTGAAGATAAAAGAATATTTTACAATGATTGATTGATATTTTTAACTATTAAAATTCAATTTGTTGTTTTATTTTTTATTTCATCGTTTGGTATCATGAAAAATCCTGGGACATTACCACCTTTCATTTATCTTAATCGGAAGTTCCCCATTGTGGGACCAATATGTTTTTTAAAACACTTAATTATAAAATTAAAAATATATCATAAACAATTATAGACAATACTTAATTAATTGTAATAGATTTTTTTTCCTAGTGAATTACAAATAATTAAATTTGGGGAAAAAACTTGGAAAAATTTATAAAAATGTATAAAATAAATGTAATATGAGGTTGGTTCAAATTTTAAGTAGCAAAAATATGAACTAAACTGAATTGATGGGTTCGGCTAAAAGAAAAACAAACCAAACTTTATTCATGATCATGCAGTTCATGTCAATTTAATTCGATTTAGTTTGTTGTAATCAATTTGTATTGGTTTTGATGAACACCTTTCATCATCATCTCTTAATTTCAAAAATATGTATATTTCTTCAGGCAAATAGAGTCTTTCGAAACTTCTGATTTACAGATATTATGTGTTTCTTGTTTTTATTATATTTTTGTTACCGGAACAAACAACAAATAGTGACTTGAGACTGGTCAAAAATTACATCAGATATTTAGATACGTACATATATATGCCATGCATTTCTAAATTTTAAAGATAAAAATATATTTTCTTCGTATGCAAGACTCCATATGGTTGTGTTGTAATTTAATTTAAACATAAATACCTCAGGCAGTGTTGTAATTTCAACCTTATCGATTCCATGTAATTTCAACCAATACTATCTGATTTTAAACTGACGATCTGTATTGGATTTCCTAGCCTCCATAGCCGAACTACAAGAAAATTCAGAACTGATGAACAAATGATACTGGCTATTGTAAGAGCACCGTTTTACTGTTTCCTATTAGTAGTGCAGTATTATTTATTTACAGCGTTCACCTTACAAGTTACAACATCTACAAAGCTTACGTAATCACCAGAATAAAAGTAAGAGAGACTACCTCAGCCTGATAAACGCATCTATTATAAATATTTATTTAAGAAATAAGAAAATCTAAATCACTAAATCAACCATAGCGACAATCTCAGACTTTGCTGGACGCAAGCTCAATCTGGTTCTCATTTGTACCACTATCTTCATCCCCTTTACCATGCACCTGAATTGGCTTATAAACGTAGGCTTTAGCACAACCCACGTAGTAAACAAAGTTAACAATTTGGAGCAACGTGAGGAGCCAATAGAAGTACTCCAACTTGCCTTTGTTCAGATTATGATCAGGAAGCCAATTTGATCCATCAGGCTTACGACTGAACTTATGCACCAATGAAACCAGAAGCGTACTCATGTAATTCCCAGCCGAAATCGAAGTCCAAAACAAAGCAATGGAAGTACTCCTCATGCTTTCAGGAGCCTGGTCATAGAAAAAC